TCGAACCCTGAAAAATTAATAGATTATAAAAAGACACATCGAAAATTGTTATACGTTTGTGATTTTTGTAAAATTATATTTGCTTTGGAACAAAATTTTGTCAGGCATCCAAAGGAACATAATTTAGAAAAAACATTCACATGCATACATTGTAATGAAAAATTCAAAAGATCGACACATTTAAATAGACATATAAAAGTCCACAGTAAGTGTGAAATGTAACAAATTTGTACAGAACATGGAAAAAGATTTTGAAGATTAGAAAATTTAAAAATACATATAAAAAATCATAATTTATAAATTTATAACGTATAAATATTACGAAATAAATTTCTTTATTTTTCTTTATTACTACAGGATATGATTTAAAAAAATTTTACTGTCATACAATTAATAAATTACTTGATAAACATTTTCTGTTATTCTATCGCAGTTTTACTATTCGTAACTCAGGTAATTTTTTAACTTAACGACCGCGACGTTCATCATGGTCATCAGGGTCAAACTTCAGAGAGAAAAGAGAAGTAAAAATGTGCAGCAACGCTGGCAATTACTTAGCTCATGTACATANCACAATGTAAAGTCTTCTTAAAAATGTGTTGTAAACTCCCAAGAAGTGTTTTAACTGCGGAGAAGGGTGGGGGATGGGTGGGGGATGCATGAAGGATGGAGGAGGATGTAATAAATTAATGAGACAGCCAGAAAAAAACGATTAACAAGATAATTTCAGGGGTATGGGCAGGGGATGGTTCAGGGATAGAGGGGGATGGAGGGGGGTTAGAGGCTAAATCCCCTAAAAACAACTAAGTAATATAGGAAGATACATACACCCTTATGCATACTCAACCCCTTGTTTTTTTATTTTAATAAAAAAACAACTTGTTGATTTACTTAAAAATCTAATACGTTTATCTCATAGTTATTAATCATACAAAAAAATTAGAAAATTTCTACACACCTTTTTCCTTATAAATGCTATTTAACGTGATTATTTTATAAGTTGTTATGTTAGATTAAGGTTCTTTCGTTCTATTGATGTTAAAAACGGTACATTTTACCGATCCACAATTTTCTGTAGGTATTATTTACGCTTGTACGAGTGTATATTGCATATTTCAGTAATACCTATCAAAAAAACCTATGTGCGATGAACATCTTGCAGTGTTATTAATTGGCATATAATATACTAATAAAGCAGTACTATTGTTTTACTGAAAGTTTTTTGTCAGCCTTTTCCTAGTTGACCAACAACTCTCGTTTATGCACTGCTGTTATTTGGATTATTTTATTTTATGTTTTGCAATTTTTTGTATTTTCATACAAATTTTGTCATTCAATTCATTTGTGCTAACCTGAATTTTAGGTTTGGTTAATATGAAAATTTTCTGTTATGTTACTGCTAAAATGTACGTTTGTAAAGTATATTACACGTACTTCCGGTTGTCAGGAAAAAAGTTCTTTTGGTTAGGTTTTACTCCTCTCTATCCATTAACTGACTTGATTGCTCATGACTTTTGAGCCGACCTAGAAGTTAATACCGGATAAGTTCAATGTTAAACTTTTTAATTTATCTGTTGTCTCGTATGTATTTATGTCATTTATATGCTTAATATCTTGCATGGGTTCAATTAAAATGTAAGTTTTTACTATATTTGTTAATGGTACAAATAACACTTTTTTTTTAAATTAATTTGAAATTTTCAAAACACCTAAAAGAATGCCTGTTTTTCAACTTGTCTTTAAAAATGAAAGGATATAAGAAGTAAGAAAATTTTACACATTAAAGTTGTACCAATACATACATCCCAATTCATACACTTGACAATATTTTGCCAATCTCCATAGATCCCTTGTTTTGGCAGTTTACTATCTTTTTGCATCCTCATGTTTACAAGATCTCTCAGCCTTTAGTAAGAAGCTGCTATTTTAAGCTCCTGATGCACTAATTTTCTATTCAATTTTGGATCAATCTGTCATATCACTAACCTTGACTTCTGTCAGTGCTCAAAATTTTTAGTTCCAAATAAATTTATTTTCTATTTCCTTTTTCATTTAAATTTGCTTCCTTCAGTTATACACGGCCAGTAGCTTCTTCTTTCTGCCACATTACATACCATCTGCAGAATACTTACAGTAACAGCCGTAGGTACATGTATAGTTTGATTTCACTAGGTAGTCTATCCACACCACGCGCCATTGCAGTGACTGCAAAAGAGGCCGTTCAAGCGCCGCCACACCCAGTTTTTTACATTTAATATTCATATACGTGTGATTGTATTTCACACTTGGCTTGATGTGTAATTTAAATAATAAAAACTGACGGCAAACGTTTACCAGAAAGCCAAATAAACTTCGTTTTGGCGAAGGATTTCTTTCAAGTGGCGTTTACCACTCACGGTTGATTTTTTAAATTGAGATAAATAAATAAGCTTTTACATGCCATATTTAAAACAAAGATTCAAACTTCTGATTGATTGAGAATATTTATCTATATTCAAATACTAATTACCACTGCCACCCAAGCAACATTAGGTTTCGAGTCCTTGGATGTGACTATTGATACAATATTTCTAGAGTTGCTTAATAGGGATTTGGGATTAGATTAACTCTGCCAAGACCTCATTCCTAAGGAATCTCAGATTATAATCTGATTAAGTCTGTTAAATTGAACTAGATACACTGGAACCTATGATTACTTAAAACAATAACGTTACGACAAATAAAACCGTGATATTATAAAACACGTACACAAAATCACCCAACTATTAACACCGTAACCCAATAACCCTATATCTCTACAACTCTTTATTTAAGAAAAAGACTATGTAACGATCACTCTGCATAACTACGAGATGTTACACAGATTAAGAATGATTTAAGCTCATGAAATTAAATTCCCTACTCCTCCTAACACCAAACCGCATAAGCTTATAAACTTATTACTCTCTTGTCCTACATCTCAAAGTTTTTTAAAGAGAGCATCTTTACTACTGCATGTTATTGCAGAAATTAAGAATACCTTATATCAATGAAAATGATCCTTATGACTTCCCTCACAGCATAACCCTACAACTCCATAACCCTTTCACTCTTTATTTTATCCCTCACCACCATTACTTTTTAACTTAATTACTCCATAATGTATAGAACAGGGGGGGATTGGAAAAATTCGCATTATTGTAAGCTTTTTCACGGGTTCAAAATATCATGAACCCATAAATTAGTTTTCTCAAGCTCATGAAGTTACTAAAAATTTGTAGGACCATCAATAATAGTGTTCCTGGATGTACACCATGGAAAGTTTGCAGGATCAGATTTTACACATCAAATAATCATTACAAAAACTTTATAAAAATGACAAAAATATAAAGTGAATAATAAGAGTGAGTAATTTTCAAAATAATTAAAATGAAGTATTGATGACTAGGTTACAAAAGTTTCAAAAATGACTGAATTTTAAAGTAAATGATTGGATTAAACGGTGAAAAAATAAATAACTGTAGTAAATGTGAAATGATTTTAGAAATAATTTCAAAAAAATTATAATGGATAAAACAAAAACAACATTTGTTCAGTTATGCGTATTGCTCTTTTATTAAATAAATTTTTTTTACCAATTTTTACTACTGTGGAAGGCTCCATCTACATAAACTTATGATTTTTTGGCCTGTTTTCTTGTAGTATTATATTCCACATTAGCCAAGTCATAAGCTCATGCTGAAAAGCAGTTACTGATTGACAACACCATCCCTTGAGTGCATGCTTTCTTACCGTGACTGTACGCTAATTCTGAGACTTTTAAGATTTCTCTGTATTATAAAACGCTTACGTTTACCTGCCACTATGACATGCAACGTTTGATCTGAGTACTTATCAAAACAACATGATAACTCTACATAAGAGCGTAGAAATATATACAGAGGAAACATAAGGTACTTGTACTCATGTACAATTTTTAAATAATGTAGATTCACGGTTAAAAACGATGTTTCTCCGATCATGAACATAAAAATATCGGATTTTGAAGTATACAAATATCTGATTAAAGAGCTAAAAGAATAACGAGGCTCAATTTTGTATTGCTCAAATGTACGATGTTTTATTCAGTGAGTATCAGGCAAAACCGAGACAGGTGGGCCACTAGTCTAAAATAAGTTAAAGCTAATATTGACAGAGCCCTGAACATGAATGCAGAAAATAATATAAATAAACAATATTCTCTGGAATCTGAAGTAAACAATTAAATGTAAGTACATTGTACTTGTTGTCTTAAAACTTTTGATAGATAACTAGGCAAAGTTAATTTATTTATTGTTAAACTTTATAAAAGCTTTTAATTTTGAGTAGAAATCATTTCATTTACCATACAATTTGTTTTCATGCAACGTATCAGTTTCTATTGGCATCATTATTTACATTTTAAGGAACGTAACCGCTAATGTGACTAAAATTGTAATATGTAAAAAGAAATTTTTGGTAACAAAAATAATTCTTAATAACAGTAGTATGACATAAAAATTTCATTGCCGGAGCGTGTTAAGTATTCTTGTACTGAAGGAAAACTATTATTGTAAAAAGCATGTACGCCGAGACAGTATGGGAAGCAATATCTTATTTTATTAAATGCCACTAAAAGCCGTAGCTTTAAAAAAGTCCTTTAAACAGAAAACATTTCTACCTAAACAAATTGTAAAAATTTTCTATTTAGTGAATATAATAGTTTAACCGTAAGCGCACCCATTGGTTATAATGTTATAAAATAAATTTAAAAAGTCATAATATTATTCATTTTTAAATCTTCATTAAATACTTACTTATAATAACACTTTTTTCTAAGGATTTTCATCTCAACAATCACATTTGTTCAGAACTATCTTCGGTAGATTTATAAAACTAGTGAAAGATAATAAATGAGCGTAGAGAAATCTAATTTAAATTCTATAATATTATACTAAAGGACTAACAAGAACTTAGAATTCAAAATACTATTGAGAACTTACCCTCTCCATATCCATAAAATCCACATCTAGTTTTGTACCTTCTGCACCACCCATCTTTTCCGTCATATACTGTAACAAAACAAAACGATGCCCTTGTAAGATTAAACTAAAAAAAAATATAAGGTGAAAGAATTATCAATAGAACTAAACGAATTTTTCATTTTTAAAAAGGTAAGCTTTTAATTTCGTGGAATATTTATTTGAGGCAATAAATTTTTATAGATACAATAACTCTTGAGGCTACTTTTCTTAACAAACTTAAGCGATTGATTATGCAAAAGGTGTCAACAGAAGTATAAATGTGATAAATTGCGTGGTACCCTCCTTTCTAGGGTGTAATCTTTGCAAGCTCCTTTATGTGCTCGATGCTCTTCCTAGCTGATGAATAATAGTAGTACAAGCTAGCCTTATGAGTAGTAGTAAGCATACATTAATTAGCCCATCACGTTTCTTTGTTTATGATGTGTACAGCTATATCAGATGAGCGCACGGTGGCTTGGTTGACTGGCCTGCGGATGAGCACGCAGGAGACCACGGTTTGACTCCTGGCCAGTATAACTCTCCCGAGCCAGTACCTCTGTGAATTTTCACATGTGCTCTTCCACCACGCAATGCTCCTTGTGAAAGGGATGGGTGACTTTCTCGAAGCAAAGTGGCCTACCACGTTGCTCCTTCGCTCTTAAAGTGGTGTATGTGTCATTATCACCGCACCAATGAATTGAAAACTATATCCACTAACGTATAATGTATTACCAATAATGTAACATGTAAACAACACTGAAATATTGTAACCAATGTAATGTAAAATGTGCTTTACTATAACAAGGCTATATGTACCCGTTTACAATAAAGCCTAAGAATAAATACACTTCGGTAGTAGGTACTTAAAGAAAAAAAAAAAAAAAACGAAACTATATCAGATAGATCAAACTATGCAGTAACCCACTACAGCTCAAATCACATCGTCCAGCTTAACCCACCGCCTGATTCCCCATGTCAACCAAGGAAGGGGACAGCCACTCAACACTCGAGACAGCTTATAAGTGTACCAGTATCAGTTTAGTGTAAGTGGTATGCCTGTATGTAAGGAGAACGTTGTAACCGTCGCTTACTTCTATACAGGACAGGTAGTCCGCAGGGAAAAGGCGATCCGTCATGAAAAATGGAACTAATTCCATACAAAAAACCATGCATGTAAGGAGACGCGAAAAACAAGACCTTAAATTTTCTATAATGTAGCATGAACAGGACATTTTGTAAAAGTCAATTTTTATTGAGAAAAACATGAAAATTCAGGCAGGTAACAAAAAATTGTTTGTTTCTATGCTAATTTATAAGTATTTAATAGGAAGTTTATTTGAGTCCAAGTTAGTTGAATTTCATACATCATTTATTTAAGTAATCACAAAAAACTGCCAAAATATCCGAAAAATTTGAGAATTTTATACTTTAAAATAATAAATTTACAAGTCTTAAAAATTTAGTGCATTATGTATTATTACTCTTAACTTACAAAAAAATTTTGATACAAAGTTTTCATTACTTTTTAAGAAAATTTAATGGTTTATTAAAAAAGTCCGTGATGATTAATGATAAACTAAACTACTACCATCACCAAAACTTTGTTCATCCCAGGCTTTTTTTACGCAAAAATCATAATCTTTTCAATATATTATCATCGTATCAAAAAGCATTAACTTTAATGTTCAAAATGGCATCAACAACACTGCGACTTTTTTGGGCTGCGTTGTTTTAAAAATCAAGAGCGAATAAATGTACTGTCACAAAACTGTTTTTTTTTTTCAAGTGGTGGCATTTTTCTACAAGCTTACAAAAAAATAAGGTTACTCTAGAACATTTGAAAGCTGAAAAAATTTTGTTTACTGTTTAACACGCCAACTGTTCATTTATAAATATAAATAGCTAAAATCTTATACGCATCGTTGATAAAATAAATGTAAGGTGTGGTAGCAAACATAATAAAGAGAACGGATTAACTAGTATATAAGTTTATCTAACAGAACGAATAAAGATTAATAACGATTCTTACAAATACCCTCACGACACTAAAAAAGACACAACGCGAGCGTGCGAACCTGGCAACGGCCATAGTCCACCTGCCTAACACCTCCTTACTATTTATATATACTCTGGCTCTCATCGTGTCTCTACGAATCGTATCTACGCCGTACAAGAGATGTCGATAACTACAATTAAAATAAATTTACTTTTATTCTATCATGCCTTCTTAAACTTATATAACATGTAACATTTCTTTGAATTTTTCAAACATGTAACATCCTAATGGCTTTGTAAAAATATCTGCGACATTTTCATTCGAATAAACTTTTACGATATTAATTAAATTTTTTACACAACAATCTGCAGTAACATAACAATCAATATGATTACCTCTATGATCCCTTTCATAAAGTAATATTCAATCATTTGTCAAAAATAAATATTTCCAAACTCTAAACCCATTTTTAAAATGTGGCTTATCATAACTGTTGTGGAATTCACTGAAATAATTAACACAAAAACTAACATCGCGTCTTATCCCTAAACCTATATACAACAAAGCTCTAATTAATTTTCTCAATTCAATCCCTTTACATGCTTATTGCGCTATTTCTGGATTTAAATTTTGTTCCATCAAAACCGCTTACAATTTTGAATTTTTAATATTATATTTATTTGCTAACGTTTCAATACATTTTTTTTAATCAAGTGTCATTTCTTCTTTTTCATAATTATAATCAATATTCATACCTCAATAAGTTTTAATCTCTCCTAGATCTTTCATCCAAAACTTTTTTGCCAACAAGCCTTTAATAATTAACGTTAGTTCTATTTTCACCACAAATCAATCATCAACAAACAAAATTGAATAAATAGTTTCATATTCATTAGTTCATACATAAAGACAACTATCATTTTTGCTTCTAACAAATCCTAACTCTTTAATATATGTATCAAAACATTCATACCATAGTCTTGGACTTTTTCTTAAATCATATAGAGCCTTATTTAATTCTAAAACTTTATCAATATTTTCTTCATAACCTCTAGGTTGTTTAACACAAATCTCAGATTTTACTTTACCATTTGAAAAAGACGTTTCTACATTAATCTGTTCAATAATTAATTTACTTCGACAACCGTATGCAAATAAATTTTTCAAAGTCTGCATTTTAGAAACTGATGAATACATATCTTCGACAACTTCATTCTGTTGAAATCCTCTTTCTATTAATCTTACTTTATAAATGTCATCATATTTTCTTCTATAAACCAATTTCAAGTCTAAAACTTTCTTATTAAATGGTTTTTCAACTAACTCCCAAGTATTATTTCAAATAGAACAAGACATTCCTCTATTTATTGCATTTTTCCAACTTTTCAAATCATACGAATTTATTACATCATCAAAACTTACTCAACTTCTTGCATTTTCATAGTTAACATGTACAATGCCATTATAAACAAAATTTTCATCTTCATATTTCGCAGGTTTTTATACATTCCTTTTTGAACGGCTCAACTCAATAATTTCATGATTATTGTTATTCTGTCCATTTTTAGACCCTTGTTTACTTTTATCATCATCATTTTGAATTCGATTTTCGAATTCGTTTGCATGTTGAGTTTTATTGTGGTTCATTTTAAATCTTACCATTTGAGTATCTTCTTTAACTACGTCAACATGTCTAGCTACTATCACCCTACCATTTAATAAAACTTTTTACCCTTTTCTTTCATAATCTATTATAATTCCAATTTCAGCTCTATTATCCTATTTAGATTGTCTCTTTTGTTCTGGTATTCTTACAAAAAATTTACTTCCATACAAACGTTGAATTTTTTACAAGGTTTATCACCAAACATTCTCTCATAAGGAGTTTTATTCTTCTGAATTTAAAATTATCTTATTTTTTAAATATGCAACTGTTTTAACTACTTCGGGCCAATACATTCTTGGCACATTAGCACCTGTGCTAGTAGACATCGTGACATATTCATACAATCCCTGTTGTATTTTTCTGCCGTCCCATTTAACTTATAAACATACGGTGGGCATGGTTCAATTACAATTTCTTTTTCTCTCGCAAAATTATGCTACGTGCACAATTTTAAGCAGCGCCACCAAGAGAAAAACGAGAACTATTGGTATAGCACAGCAGAAGGCAATATTCGCGATGTGTGCTTGATACCTATAAGAACACAGCACCTCGATGGATACTCGAAAGGTTCTGTGTTTATTATATCACGAATTAATACAATGTCTTAAGTGGTATAATCCTATGTGAATAACTAAAGACAAAATTTGTACTACAAACACTGTAAGAGCTTGAGTATTACTTCAACACAAGTCCGTGTACTGTGTGATACGTGATACGTTTTGTTATTTTGCAATGTAGGTAACACAGACCTCTTCTGACCAATCAGAGAGCTCCATTAGCCCTATTCGCTCCGAGCCGATGCAGAGGTTGCGCCCCCTCTAGCCAAAATCAGGCAACATTTCTTGCATGTAAACAAACGGTTTAGAACATATATACATACGTACAGCTGCTTGTGATTGGCACTTGGCAAGCTAGAGAGAGAACGACGATCCTCTCCTGCTGTCTTATTCAGCCAATCACAAGCAGCTACACGCATGTATATATGTTCTAAACCGTTTGTTTACATGCAAGAAATGTTGCCTGATTTTGGCTAGAGGGGGCGCAACCTCTGTATCGGCTCGGAGCGAATACCAGCGTGTTCACACAGGATGTACACACATTCATACGATACGCTGAGAGGATCAGGCCCCAGCTAAAAACTCTAAGAAACACACAGTATACGATGTATTACATTGCGTTTTTAATGAACATGCATGAGTAAAATGTGTACTACTAATCGTAGTTTTATTAAAAATTTAACCCTTAGAATGGTTGTCGATGTATAAACACATTACTTTCTGATGAGAGTAATGCTTAGCAGTCTGCTAGTAGAAGACAAACATATTGTTTAGTTTCACATATTAGCACAGATATTGCTGCGATCGCTTTTTCAGCTTGTGCACGTAG